CCATTCTCAAATGTACATGTTAGACCTACTTGGGGCGTACTTATATTTAGCCCCTGACCAAAGATTTGGCCCATTTTGCCCACAAAAAATCGAAGATGAATTTCATTTTATCATGGAATGCTCTAGATATGATGTCCTACGTGATAAGCTATTCAAATTTCTCTCTTCAAATACGACAGATTTCAATAGACTTTACAGATATATTTGATTATATATTTAAATCCACCAGCCACACAGTGCAAAAATAGGTAAATACATAAAAGACTGTTTTGTTATTAGAAAGAATACTGATTTGCTGTCACATGTACCCATAAATAACTCCGCCTGATTGTAAAGCCTAAGGTAACTTTTGATTATTTCTTTCCTATTTTTAGTTGTTTTAAGTTTTATTCTATACTTATCTATTTTACTAAGCTACTTATTGTTACCTATTTGCCATACAATGTACCCTGTACAATTGTCGTGCAATAAAGTTCTGTAATAGTTATTATAGTTATAATAGTTATAATAGTTATAATACAGTGTAGTTATAATAGTTATAATATTTATAATACAGTGTACTTATAATAGCTATAATAGCTATAATAGTTATAATAGTTATAATACTTATAATACTTATAATACTTATAATACTTATAATACTTATAATACTTATAATACTTATAATACTTATAATACTTATAATACTTATAATACTTATAATACTTATAATACTTATAATACTTATAATACTTATAATACTTATAATACTTATAATACTTATAATACTTATAATGACACCTGGGATTAGGTACATTTTGTATGCAGGGCCCACTGCACCAAAAGTTGAATTTTTCAGATTATACACACAGCTAATATATACCGGTGTCGTTTGTCGCGTAAAGCAATCATTATCATACTTGGCTTTTATCATTATTTGGTAAATCCATATTCCATGCAGTGTCATACCTTGATAGCAGACATGTGCTCGCCGTGCCTGTCCACCAGGTCCCTGTTAGCGCTGAGCACCTCCTGCAGCAGACGTCTGACCGAATCCTCGGCGCTCCACGACCTC